CAGACACTCTCAGCAAGCAAATATAAGTCCCAGCGTCCCGGCTTGTGTGACCTTGATAAAGCCCCTTCCCTTAACCTCCAGGTCTCAATCAGAGAGGTTTTCTAAGAAAAATAAATTATATTACTAAGGAAAGAGAAGGCTTGAATGCACATTCCCAACACTATTGTAGTCAATGGGGTTTCAGCAGTATAAACCAAATTCCTGCCTTTCTAGAACTCGATATTTTAGTTGAGGGCAAGGGCAGAAAAGAAATACCTAAGATACATCAGGTGATGAATGGTATGAAGAAAAAGTGATGGGGGCACTATTTTGTCATCGTGGGACATGCCCGTAATGGAATACTATGCAGCTGTTGGAAAGAATGCAACACATCTGTATGTACTCGATGTGGAAAGAGCCCCAGGATAGACTATTCAGAGAAAAAAGCAAAGTATAAAACAATGTACAGAATGTATGTTTTATGGAAGGAAGGAGGAGATAATAAACTTATATAATGGTACTTGCTTGTACATGCAGAGAATGCTGAAAGTATTTACCTCCAAGGGGTGGTGAGTGAACAGGATGGACCATGAAGGGCCGTACAGAACTAGGTAGAAGGTATGATCCAACTACATAAAAATTACATTTATAGTCACACATATACACACGCACAAAATGAGATCTGAGGATCAACACCAAACCATTACAACAGGGAGAAGACATTTACTCTTTTACTTTGTATGCTTCTCCACTGTTGGCTTTATTACTTCTATAATTTAAAAAAATCCACAACCTGCCCCAGAGAGGTATGTACTATTATTCCTACTACAGTTGAGAAAATAAGTTTCAATAACGGGTGTGGCTGGCCTGAGGTCAGTGGTTGGGCTGTTTCTGATGGAGCCTTTCCCACCCCACTCCCAAATGTCAAGATGGGGGGGGAGACAGCTCTGGGCTAGATGATGTGGGCAGATGTCCTGTCCAGCAGAGGCCTCAGTAGCCAAAGGCTCCATATGCTGGGATCTGGCAAGAGCTCTCTCCCCTCACTTCCAGGGTGCCGCGGCCCTAGTGAGGCAAAAGCCAGAAAGGTGATAGTCTTGGAGAGGATGAATAGTGCCCTCGTTCTGCCCAAGTTCGGGACCTGGGAGCCCTGCTTATTGTAAAACCCCAGCATTTATGCATTCGTTACTGCTTTCTTGGCCTGGTAGCTGGAAGGCAGAGCCTCCGGCTCTATTCCACACCTCCCACGAAGGGAGGTAACAATGGATGTTTGTTTTGGTGGCCAGGCCAGGGCCTGCGGGCCTGTACCCGGCCTCTCTGAGCCTGTAAGTCCAACCAGGAGCCTTCTCAGCCTCTACTATCCTGGAGACGGTTACCAAACTGAGTGGCTTTGTCACCTTTTTGCCCAGGAGTGACATGGGGAAGGGCTGAGGTTGGCGTCCCAAGCCAATGCTGCACACACTTCCCCCTTTGTTCCAGGCTTCCCAGCTCTGCCAGCCTGGGGGAGGGGGAACTGGATGCCTGTACCCTTGGAACCAGAGCAGAGCTCTAGGCCCTGACACCCCGTGACCAGGAGGCACTGTGTAAAGCTGAGCTCCCTGAAGTCACAAGCTGATTATGGGGGATTTGGGGCTGACCCAGCTCTGGGGCAAGTAGGGTCGGGTCCCTGAATGGCTCAGCACGGGACAAGGATCATCATGGAGCCGTTTACACTGCCTTCACACCCGAACAGGCTGTACATACAAAGGGTGTTTCCACTTAAAATAGCCACCGCCCTGAGTGAGGGCCCCTGGCCTGTCTCACCACGTCTACCACAGGGTAGCGAACCTCCATTTTATGGGGAAGAAACTGAGGGTCTGAGAAAAGCCATTTCCCCAAGGTCATAGTTTTGTGAGAACATGTGTTGTTCTCACTCACAGAAGGATTTCAGTTGTCAAGTTATGCCTAATCCAACTTTGAGACTCCTACGTTGCCCAGAAAGAGCTTGGAAAGTCCTAGGTGTCTGGGAATTCCTGCTCATTTGGGGTGAGTGGAGGGTGTGGAGAAGAAAGCATCTTTTTTTATATTGTAGAACATCTCAACTATTTTGTGACAGCCTTATCCTGGACACGTCTCTTTCCTTCTCTGGCCTCAGTTTCCCCATTTGTCAAATGGAGGGCTGGGCGATGTACTGGAAGGGCTCTTCCTGCTCTTTTACCCTTTATGTCATCCTAAAAAAGCTGGCAGTGTGTTTTGAGGTAGGAGGCTCAACGTGTCACCATGGGAAAGTCATTGTTCATTGGAACGTGACTTCATATTTCCCCCACAGGGGAGGCAGGGCAGCCACATTAGTTGACTTATCTCTCACCCATGGGCTGGCTACCTCTGCATACCAACTTCCCCACAAACCCCTACTGAAGAACTGGAGCCTTAATGATTTCCTCCATTAAGTGGTACTCACAGCTCATACATCCTGGGGCTCCCCAAAAGCTCACACTACCAGAATGCCAGACTTCTGGACAGAGGCCATAACCCAGGTACAGGTCACCTGAGGCCCAGGTAAGAGCAATGCATCATGGGAGCCCAAAGAGGCAAGGAAGATTTATGGAACATCTATGAGGACACACAAATTTTTTTCTGAATTCTTACAGATACTCTAATGATGAAAATGACATTATTATGCAGATAAGGCAGCCGAGCTAACCTGGACTTCAAAACCACATCTGCAGAACTTCAGAAAAGCATTTGCTAGCCAAGAACCTAATAAACTGTAAGAATATTCTATCTCCCCGCAGAATAGTCACTTATCCACTCAACAAATAAACACCCAGATCCTGTATCACATTCCGAACAGATAGTTCTTACCCTTGAGGAAGTAAACAAGTTATCTCTGTCTTATACATGGAGAAACTGAGGCCCAGAGAGGTTAAGTGGCCTTCCAGAGCTCTGAGATATCACAGCAAGTATTTGGACGTTGTGGTCTCAAGCCCCCCACCACTAGCGCTTCTCATTGGATTTTTATTATGTTATATCCCAGCACAATGGCTAACCTCCGACTGTTGGGAAATGTGTGCCCCTGGACGGGGTGAAGCAAGTCGTCAGGATTCCAGAGATGACGGAGCCTTTTCCCGCTGAGGGTCCAGCCTGGTGTCAATGTCAGGCACCACTCTGCCCACCCAGACCCCGCTCAGTCCCACCCACACCCCCAGAGCCCACAGGCAGGGCCAGTGCAGCCTTCAGTACTCCTCCAGCACTCCAGGTAAAAAAAAAAGGGGGGAGCGCATCCAAGCGCCTTCCCGGCCCAGGAGATGGGAACATTCAAGAGGGTGGAAGGGAAGGTTTCAAAGAAAAAAGTGATTTGAAAATATTCTATACAAGGGGGAAGATGGAAGGTGGGAAATAAATAATGTCCTGCACACCGGAGGGGCTCAACACTTTTTCTGGGTAGGACAAAGATCCACTGCAGGGCAAACCCGTTTACAGGTGAAAGAAGAGTTGTTTTTCCCCAGAAAAGAGCCCTCGTCTGCTCGGAGTAGGAACCCTCTCGTTCCTCAGGCCCCCGCCTTTGGCTCCACTGGGGTCCCTTCGCGTTTCCCGGTCCCCCGGAGCTCTCCCCAGCCCCGCCCCACGGGAAACGTGCCACCTCGGAGCACGTGAAGCGTCGGGCCTGCGCTCCCCGGAGAGAAGGGCCTCAGGGGCCAGCTCCTTCTCGTCCAAGCCTGGCGGGAGCCGGGCACCCCGGGGCTGGAGTCCCGGCCTTGAGAAAGCGCGCTGCGCCCCGGAACGCAGGCCGCGCGGCGCCCGGAGAGGGGAGCGGCGGCTCCCGCGCC